TTATATACTAATCGGAAAATAAGAAGTAAAACATAAGAATGAGTAACTGCTTATAATAACATATACACGAACTTAAGATGATAACATCAACTTGTCGTTGCTATATATGTCATTTAACCTCCTATAAAGTAGCTTACAAATAGTTAACAATTTTTAGTTATGCTTTATGATATTTATAGGATCGATCATCTTGTATTATAATAAGGATTGTCTTTTCTTTTTAAAATCATCTCATACGCTTACAATTTGATTACACATGAGAAGGGTCGGTCTGCTACATATATAAACAATACGCAAATCGTAGTATAACAAAAATGTAATACACTCCGTTTAGCAGGATGCCTATTTTATCGTTCTATGTATAACAGAAATAATTGTGATACATACTTATATCTCGATGTGTTACCATACATTGTTGTTTATAAATTATTATTAGCGACTCCTCCCCTAATGTTTGGAATTTACAAATCATACTACACAAGTAAGAACTTATCTGGAACTTATTCTCTCCCTACTACAGTGCCTACTACAGTGCCTACTACGTATACTACCATATTATTTATATATGTATATGTGCAATCACGACTCGTCAAACTTGAGAATCAGCCTTATAGGAAAAAGTTAATAATCTAAGATACTAAATATAGCAAATATTCCATGTAGAAAAGATAAAACTAATTCTGCCATTGTTTACTACGTGCACTTAATATCTGTGGTTGCTTTGATATTGTATTAAAGTGCATTTGTGGTCATAGAAAACCGGTGTAAGGTTTCAGTAAACTACATACATACGTATGGTATGTATGTATGCTTGGATATAACACTACGAGGATGGTGGAAGAAAGTACGATCAAGTACGATTCTGAAGATGTGCGAAGAAGAGAATATGTGTTTGCTATTTCGGAAATGTTGAACTACTAACTAAAATTTGATAAGAAATCAGTGGGCTGTTAAATTTTCTATAAACGTGCGGTGGCATCGGAATTTGATACGTCCGCATGCGTATTAATTACTTCTTTTCATAAACTCGATCGAAATACACATTATCCGACAGGAGAGCACTCTTTGGGCTCCAGAGGAAAGAAAAGTTGTTGTAATGGCTGCCGTGTCATGAAATGAAGGTACCGAGCCAGTTTTGTGGTTCCACGATGGAGGAGAACTCCAGTTCTGCATCTCAAAATCATAATGGACAATTATCTAGTGGTACAAATGTTCCACTGACAAACAATAAACATCAAGGGAATGACAATGGTACTAATGGCGATGCCAAGAATGAGAGGCCACAATACTCTATGCCTGGTATTCTACATTTTATTGAGCATGAATGGACTCGCTTTGAGCTTGAAAGATCGCAGTGGGAGCTTGACAAAGCAGAATTTCAGGTACAATCTCGATTCGTTCGGGAAATTTTTCGATTTCATCCGTATATTTTTCTTTAACGTAACTCTTTACTTATTGTCACTTCATCTGTCATGTGACAGGACATTAAACATCTTCGCAATTACGAAAAAAATATATGGAATGCTATAATAGAATTTGTTTGTTTGTCCAGTTTAAAAATTAGTTAATTTGTTGAAAATCAAACTGTTTGTGGAAAAGTTTTTCTTTACCTTATTGCTGTGTTATGTCTTCAACTCTGGATGACAAATGTCATCAGTACACCATTCACTTGTGTGATGATAAAAAATTATGAATCTACGTTTGAAGTCTTAGTGACATTGAAGGAGAACACCTTCAATACAAAGACATATCGTTTAGAAAAGAATTTGATGCAAGTGTAATAAGTTTATTACTATTTTTCTATAGGCTAGGATAGCTTTTTTACAAGGTGAAAGAAAAGGTCAGGAACGGTTAAAAAATGATTTAGTAAGAAGAATAAAAATGTTAGAATATGCACTTAAACAAGAACGGTAAGATTTTCTTTTTATTGTGGTCGCAGAGATGTCTCAACTTCATTATTTTAGATACATATGTGCAATGTTTTCATCATATTTCAGGGCAAGGTATCATAAACTAAAATATGGTACTGATTTGGTAATTCAAGGAGACACAAAACCTCCTGTTTATGAAGAAGGCATCTGTGCCTGTCCTAATTCTGATGTTGGAGGTGGTGGTGATGGAGAAGCTCCATTCACATCTGTCAGTAACATTAGTTGGAGACAAGGCCGCCAAATTTTGAGACAGTAAATAGGATATGATTGCTATATCATACAGATCTGATAGGATAGAATTTATTATTAACAATGTAATAATTATTTTAGATACTTACAAGAAATTGGTTACACTGATACAATAATAGATGTACGATCAAGCAGAGTAAGATCTTTACTTGGTTTAAGTAGTAACGCAGATTCAGAAGATGTGAACACTCCTGCCTCAAACGGCAATGGAGTGGTGAACAAACAATCATATGATAACAGCCTTCGTAGAAAAAAGGTAGAGGTAAATGTTTATTGGATTTCAAATATTTTATTTTTGATCTTACTTATTTTAGAATTGAACACATGTTTTGTACATGTTTTTTCAAATTTCTAGAGATCTCGTGCATTAATAACCGTGTGTTTTTTGTAGCAGCCATCTTCTATAGCAGAAGCAATAGTATTAGATACAGAAGCTGCTGTCATGGCTAACTTCGAGTTTCTATCTAATACAGATATGGATATGGAAGAAGAAGAAGGAGACGTGGAGGATGATACATACGAAACTAATATGGATCCTAAACCAAATAAAGTAACACAGATTCATTGTTTGATATCAATGATTTTTGTGTCATATAAGTCATAATTAACACGTCACTGTTTCATGTAAATATTTTCAGCCATCTATGCTTTTAACGGAAGACGTTGATGCGCAAGCTGAAGAGGTATTAAATGAATTGAATCTTCTCACAGAAATCGAAGAATCACCACCAGGTTCTATTCATTTAGAGATAGATTCAACCGAATGGAGTTAGTATTAATTTCACTGTCGACTCTTTTTTTAAAGAATTAAAACTCTACAAGTATTTTTAAAATTGAAAATCGAATAAATTTACAGACGCAATACATAGAGGTCTACATACAGATCCAAAGCGTTTAAACAAGGAAGGTGATTCTACATTGGAATTGGGCGAATTAGAACAGTTGTGTGTAAACAATGAAGCTGAGACGTCATATGATGTAAGTTACTATTGATGATACGCAGAGATGAGTGCAAAATGATGTGTTACATTTATAAATGTTAATTCTTTTTATGCAGATGGCGACGACTACAAAAGAGAGCTTAAGAAAAACATGGAATGCAAAGTATACGTTACGATCACATTTTGATGCAGTTCGAGCTCTTGTCTTCCATCCCACTGATCCCGTTCTTATAACTGCAAGCGATGACCATACACTCAAACTATGGAATCTTCATAAAACTTTGCCGGCAAAGAAGTAAGTTATCTGTATTTCGAACTTGGCAACTGCTACGTTATACTGTTTTTGTAAGTATTTTAAAAGATGTTTATTGTTATTTATTTCAGGTCAGCTTCATTAGATGTAGAGCCATTATACACGTTCAGATCACATACAGGTCCTGTATTATGTTTAGCCATGTGTAGCACAGGCAGTCAGTGTTACAGTGGTGGTTTAGATGGTATGATTCACTGTTGGACACTTCCATCAGCCAATATAGATCCATACGATTCTTATGAGCCAAGTGTCCTTAGCCAAACATTAAAAGGACATACAGATGCAGTTTGGGGTTTGAGCATGTATCAGCCTCGATCGCAACTATTATCAATAAGTGCTGATGGAACTGTTAAATTATGGAGCCCGCAAAGCAAATCTCCATTACTTCATACATATATCTCCGAACAAGGTATGCATCTTTCTCAAAGGTAAATCGATGTAAATTTTATAAATTCATCTTATTTATTTCTCATTCCTTTTCAGATGGCATACCGACATCAGTAGACTTCATCAGAGATGAGTCAAACAAACTAGTTGTAGCTTATGAAAGAGCTTGCGTGGTATTTGATACGGAAACTGGTGAAAGCGTAGCTCGTCTTGAGGCTAATGAAACAAAAGGAGTGAACCGTGTTGTGGCACATCCTACATTACCACTTGTTGTTGCAGCGCACGAAGATCGACATATTCGATTTTATGATCACCGATCAGCTACCCTCGCTCATGCCATGGTTGCTCATTTGGATGCAGTTACTAGTCTTGCAGTAGATCCTCATGGTTTATATTTACTTTCAGGAAGTATGTAACATGTTATACGTTATAAATAATGTATTATGATAATTTTTAGAGTATACTCATATCCGTTTCTTGCTTCAGGTCATGATTGCAGTATAAGATTATGGAATATGGACAACAAGACTTGTGTTCAAGAGATAACAGCGCATCGCAAGAAATTTGACGAAAGTATTTTAGATGTAGCATTTCATCCTTCACGACCTTTTATAGCAAGTGCAGGTGCTGATGCTCTTGCCAAAGTGTATGTGTGAAATGTAAATTAAGATACACATTTCTACTATTAACGTACATCAGATGGAACAGATTTTTTACTCATTCTTTCTAGATAGTTTTACCTATACGTGTTACACTTCCAATTTTGTTGTAACTTATATTGCTCTACTATTTGAAATACCACTTTAGAAAATCAAATCGGACGTATAGATATTCATGTTATAAAACCAAAATTTGCACATAACCCTCGCCCGCGACAATTTATTAAGCAACAGAAGGTGATTTCGAATATAATAAATGCTGCTTACTGACGAACGTTTCACACGAAGTGAGTGGCGACATTAATTGGGATAGCGGAAGGGGTCTATCTTGTAGTATATTAGTTGATATAGTTCTGATAATTAGACGATGAAATACCCCTTACCCAGAATCCAGGAAGCACACTGCCGCAGTAGCATAATATTTATCCCTATGTTAACTATTTATTACCAATATTACAGTTACTGTTGCACAGCTACTGGAGATTAATACGTGCTGCGCGAGAATAAAATTGTCCTACATCAATTAGTCTCCCATTATATGATTTTTATGCTACCTTATATATTCATCAAGGTTGGCGTATAATAAAAACAACAAAAAAGCAACAACAACAACAACAATAATAATAATAACCGTAATAAGTTAATTGTAACGTAAGAGACATAATAATATTAATAACAGTAAATTATAACTGTGTGTTTCTCTGTAATATATTGTATTTAAAATAGATGAACTGTGTAACGTACTATAATGAACATGTTTTTATTAAAATTTAATACATAGATTAACATAGAGTTCCATCTATCATAATTGTTTCAGCAGGTGCGTGTGTGATAGCTCACGCATATACAAATTTGTATGTAAATGTATGTTTCTTTGATCGTTATCCATTCCTAAAGTGTGTCGTCTTATGCGTGATGTCTACGTTTAGTAATAGTTTACCACTTGTATTTCCGTATAAATACATAGTATTCGAAAGTCTCAGGAGTTTCACTTCGCGGTAACGTGCGATACGCGATGATCAATTTCGACAAGTCCGTATCGTCGGTTAGGTAAAGATTCTATTCGAAAACTCGAGTATGTCATGGAGTTAAGCAACGGAGTTCGTTGAAAGGTAAGGCACGAAGTTAAAAATGGATTGCGAGACGAATTTTCATCGTCGAATACGCAATGACTCAAACCGATGAGCGACTGTACGAAATCGGCAACGTGATGTCAATTCGTTCGTCGAAAGTATGAAAGAAATTCCTTTCAGCTTTTAGTCTTTTCCCTAAGTTTTGCAACATTTTTCTTTTGCAATCGTTCTATGTATCGCCTAATTACTATTCCTATCGCGCGCCGTTTTGTTACCCGACGCACGGTGAGAGCGTTTGATTCATCGGACGGAAGTGTTCGAAAATGTAAGTAAATCGAGAACGATCACACTAGAGATTCATTAATATTCAACGTTCGTCCGATCAACTTGCGATATGTGTAATTATGCTTGTTGGTGTGACCGAGAATTACGTATCATCATACGTATGTATGATGCGGCACGTTCTTTCAGAACTGTTACCGTCATTTCTATACGCTTTTATGTAATAATTACCATTAATACGTATCGCTTTGATATTATGCAATAAAATGTTGTTTTTCACCCTTCTAATTAATAAGGGGAAGTGCACTTCGCCTACAGATTTTGCATTCAGATAGAAACAAGGGATAACGTCGCGCATAACGAGATAATCAGTAGTAAAGGTCAGCGATAAGACCGGCTCCGACTTGCAATGCCTACGCGTAAACTTGCATAAATAGCTATGCTTCTAATCTTCTCTCCCTATTTTTTGCTTTATAGCTTTAAATTGCTTACAGTATATTTATATCTACTAACACATTGACGACGAGAAATTGATGACTAGGGGTAAGCGTGATTAATTTTGAAACGGAGCTGACGACAAGGGAGTTGCTTTCTGAAGGGTCACGCATCACTTCAGCGACTACGTCACAAGATTCTATTAATGAAATTTATTTTTAAAGTATTTTTTACCCTATACCTTTTTACGCACTTGTTACGTAGTTCGCTATAAAAAAACGATCGCGATTCGAGATAAATTGATATACCGTTTAGCGTCTAAAGCCTGTAGATTTTTTTTTCGTAACTAATGTACAAATCAGCTAGCCCTTATATAATTATTCACATTGTAACTGCACTGTCTAAACGTTAACATGACAGGCCGTTTACCAACTAGTACACTTCAGACTTGTGCTCCCGTTGTGTCGCAATTGAGAAAGAATCGTATTTAAACGCAAGTTCAATGACTCGAACAGGTGGGAGAGTTTAGTGGTTTCGGAGGTAGGCGACTGTATATAAAATCAAAGGTAGCTGTCGTGGATGACATAGAGTCAACTGCTCTTTGCACGTTCAAGATCACTTCTACACGTCTGGGATAGTGCACGACGGTAAGATACTGAAGAATAGCCGTTCGATTATTTGCAGCTATCAGCTATATCATATTAATAATTTTTTCTTCTGATAGATGCATCCGACAAGTATTGCAATTTTCGCTATTGTTTGCTGTTGCCTTGCGCCATGCATAATAGCCGAAGGAGATAGTTTATCGTCGAAAGAAAGTAGCTTATCGACTTTCGATGGTTCTGTTATTCAAACGGAAAATGAGGATGCAGGAGCCACGTTAAACAGACAGAAAAGAACACTTTTTTTGAAGAAAAAACTTATTGGCGCGGGCCTGTTAGGTTTCGGATTAGGCCTCGCGAAAGGGTGAGGGATTATTTTCCGCGCATTGATGAAAAGACGTATGAAGTCTGTTCTAAATTATTTCTATTCTCATTCAGATATAAAGCAGGTTATTATACTGCTCCGGAGGTGCATCATGTATATTTATCACCTCCACCGGCGTCTGTGAAATACGTTGAATACGTTGAGAAACCTGTTTTCGTTGAAAGGATAATCAAACCGATACACGCTGAATACAACAGTCCTCCACCTTATGGGTAAGTACCTGTTTTTGACGATTCATACAATAGTAAGGATGTATTGGCTATACAGTCAATTCCAAAAGTTTATGTACCTTAGAAAAGCGCATTTCCTATAATTAAAAAGAAATCAGACGTCGGAAGAATAATGCTAATAATAAATAGC